TCTATCAGTCTTTGTTGACCTGGTGGACGGCCTGAGCCCGTCCAGATGGATCCTCCGGACAGCCCCAGTCGAGGCGTGGCACCCATCTCACCACGGTTCGGGCGGCAGATTCTCCGGGAAACTGTTCTGCGAAAATGCAACGATAGTAGAAGGCCTCTTTGGTGGTGGGCGTGTTGAAGGGAAACCGTAGAGCGGCTCCGGCGAATTCCTTATCGCTTACGTGGCTAGTGGCCACCCTACGGATGCTGTCGATCCAGTCGTAGCCCACTCCATCGGAGAACTGCTCCTTTTGCCGCCAAAGGACATCATTTGGTAGGTAGTCATCGGCAAAGGCGGCGCGCAGGACGTACTTCTCCAAACGCTTCTGCTGCTCTCCCCCGAATTTGTTAAGGGGGCCCGGTATCTTGTCCTCCGGCCTGATTTGCATGACATGGTTAACGAATCCTGTGTCCAGGAACGGCACTCGCAGCTCCACTCCCTTGGCCATGGCCACTTTGTTAGCCCTCAGACAATCAGATAAATGCAACTGCCGCACTCGTTTCACCAGCTCCTCGTGGAAATCCTCGTAGTTTGGCGCCTTGTGGAAGTACAGATACCCTCCAAAGATTTCATCTGCTCCTTCGCCAGACAGAATCATCTTAATACCAGTGCTCTTGATGTATCTAGCCAGTAGCAACATGGGCAAACTACATCTCACAGTGGTAACATCATAGGTTTCCAGGTGGTAAACTATATCTCTTATGCCATCCAGCGCATCATCGATCTCGAAGATGATCTCCTTGTGATCGCTGTCTATATATTTGGCCACATGCCTGGCAGCCTGGAAATCCGGTGCATCTTTAAGGCCCACAGAGAACGTTTTCAAGCGAAAGGTGGGATCCCGTTCCCGCATTATCTTCGTGGCTATGGAGGCAATAAGACTGGAATCCACTCCGCCAGATAGTAGGGCTCCTAGGTGCACATCACATTTCAGATGGCTGCGCACCGCGGACTCCAAATTGGCTCGAAGTAGGGCTAAATCACAGGTTTGTCTGGGCACCTCCTTGATCCAGGGTTGCTCGAACTGCCAGCAGACTTTCAGCTCACCGACCCTGCCAAATCGGGCCTCGCCAGGCGTAAAAGTTCTCACTTTGGAGCAGGTTTCCGTCAGGCACTTCATCTCCGAGGCAACCCAAAGGTTTCCCGCCGCATCCTCACCCTCATACATGGGTATTATGCCGAAGGGATCTCGGGCTATTAGAACTTCCTTGGTCCTTCGATCGTATAGGGCAAAAGCAAACATACCGCTGATGTATTGCAGAAGATCCTTGCCGTAATCCTTGTACAGCTCCAGTATCACATGGCAATCGCTCTTGGGTTTGTAGAAGCCACGTTTTTTTGCTATTTCCGCCGAGAGTTCCAGATAGTTGTAAATCTCTCCGTTGGCCACCAGGATTATGTTGCCATCTTCAGAGACGAAAGGCTGATCGCCCATTTCCACGCCCACAATCCGCAGGCGTTCGTGCACCATGGCCACGCCTTCCGTTTCGATTACATAGACCCCGGTGGAGTCCGGACCACGATGCCGCTGTTTTCCACTTTGACGGTAGGCCAGCTCCCTTAAACTGTGTTTGCTGCCATGGAGGATTTGCGGGGGAATCTGTTCCCCGTCCCTCGAAAATATAGAAAAGATTCCACACATTATTTTCTTGATTCCTTGCAAATTTAATTTAAATATTTAAGGCCAAGCGAGGTCCGCACGTTGCAGTGTCTAAAAACTGTTTGAAGGTTGTTACCTAGGTGCGCTCTTATTTAATGCCAAAACTCTCTCTCTCTCTCATGCTCTTTATTTCTCTGTCTATACGTCTCGTTTTGTTCTGTCTATAACATTGTAATGATGATTTCCACGTGTTGCCAATTTCGTCACCCATTTTTATCTACCCTCTTCAATTAAACAGGACACTCAATATTGCCGGAACTAGAGGAACTTTGTAAAAATGACTAAGAACGATTACCTTCTTTCTATTTGTTTATATTTTTCTAAATCTGATAAAAAGTGGAACAGCTGTCAGCGGCTAAAAAACTTGATAAAATTTTGTTTACCATGCTCTTTTTTATACTCTCTGGTTTCGCATCTGATTCTTCTATATCAATTATTGCATCATGCAAATTACTCTTTTTTTTAGGGTACCTTTATTGTGCAACACAATGTGCTTCAAATGTATACAAATTGAAAAACAATTCTGATTTATTATGTCTGAGAAAATAAAAGGCCCCAGGCTAGTACATTTTTTGCGTCAGTAAAAATATCGTATTTGTATTTATAAAATTAAGATTTTAAAAATTTTTATTTAAAAAATTGTATATTTAAATGTTAACAAACCAAATCTAAAAAATGCATCATTAGTCGACATAAAATTTGAATAGGTGAGATTAAAACCAAAGACCAATAAATGTTAAAACTATATTTTCAAAACACATATCTAACACAGGGGAGTATTCAAGAAAAAAATACAAAATAAGTTAGTATATAAGAGTATCAGCAGACTTTTCTTTTTTAATTTTCCGCCTTACTTTTGTTTCTGTGTTACTTGGCATTGGCTCCCAGAGAATCTAAAAAAAGAGTGGTAAAGCACCCAAAAGAGAGGGAGACCGGTTTTTTTGTTATTCTCTCCAAATGTTTTCGCTCAGGCCATGATACAATAACATAAGGTAGTCTCGTCGGCTGTCTAAACGTTCGGGTTTTGGTCAGTGCGTGTTCGTCTTTCGAAGGGAAAGGTTGTCTGCGGACGAATTTTTTAGGGAATTAACCCTTAAGCAAGATGACATTTTGCATAGTGTGCCGCAAACACGTCGATGGCGTAAAGGCACCGAAATGTTTAGCAAAAAGAGCGCTGTGGGAGGAATCGCTGTGATACTTTTAAAATAACAAAGAGTGTAAACGAAACTTTAATAATCGCAGCCGAAAATGTTAGTATAAGTTTTTATGTCTAAATTTATACTAACATTTTCGGCTGCGATTATTAAAGTTTCGTTTAATTCTTTGTTATTTTAAGATTAGAATATATTTTAGAATTAAGAATCTTAACAAAAGACTCAGTATTCAGAGACAAAAACAACGCCTAATTTCAAATTCAAAATTATTAAAAATTAAATTATAAAAAAAAATTAAACTCCTTTTATTATGAAAGGCAAAAAAAAACCCTCTGAACCATCTAAGGGTTAATCCACACATTCTATTGTCGCTCTGCTCGCACTTACTAAACAGTTGCCATTTCACTCGCACTCATTGTTTTAATAGTAGGGTTCCAAAATTTGCCGACGAGACTACCTTATGTTATTGTATCATGGCTCAGGCAATGTTATCACACACAATGACAAAAATGCACATTTGTATGAATGTATAGACGAAATTCTTTATTTTCAACTTTCATTGTTGTTTCGATTTCTGTTATATTTTTAAAAATTATTTAATACATTTCTGAAAATACACGAAAATTTAAAAAAAATTACATGTTTTATAATTTCTTAGATCAACAGTATAATATACAATTAATAATGAAAATCTTATTAACCGATTTCGATTATGTACTAGTCGGTGCTTAAGTATTATATACTATGTATATCTTGATTATTATTCTATTACTTTGTCAACTTTGTGGATTTACGTTATATTTCAAATAAATAAATGAATATAAAATGTTTTTCAAGTGACGATGTACATCTATAGATTGAAATCAAAGCTAAAACGCTTTTAAATAATTAATACAAATTATTTGATATAAATAGGTATAGGTATTACAAACCCTCTGTAAAAATATTACAAACAACTCTGGGCCAATTTAGAAAAAATCATATGATAAATCGTACCAGAAAACTCCTTTTAATTTTAGATTTAACATAGAACCTTTAAATTTTATGGAACTTTTGAAATCTAAATTAAATTAATCAAAGCTTAAGAAATGTTTAAAATGTATTTCTAATCATAAAATATATCATATAGAAATCTAATTTTGGTACATTTCCTGGCATGTAATGAAAAGCTCTCGAACATCTCTTGACCATCCACACTAACATGATGTTAACCAAAAAGCTCTCGGAAACAGCTCTCTGTTGGCTAACATGGCGCCAAGCTAACAGGTGGTTGCCGCTGGTCCAAGTCGCCCGATTTTCAGACTTCGGTCCATGTGATAAATATGTCAAGTGCCCGCAGATAAACTGAAATCTCCCGTGTTTAATTATGCAGACATTTTAATTACGCATCTAACACTGACGAATTTGGATAGTGATGTCATACTGGATGGTGCGAGCAACAGTAAATAACCACGATTTATAACCCGAGGAGCCCGAATCCGCTCCTGGGCGTTCGGCGTGCGCGCTTGTTGCTTCCAAGTCGTTTTGTCGGCGACGAGCGATTCAATTCAGTTGCCGATGGAACGCGACACTGTGCGGCAGGAAATTGCGTATACGACGCATTGTCATTCGGCCAGCCACGCGAATCGGAAGTCCTTTACTCGCGCGCTCCTCGATTTCGCTTTCCCTTTTTCGAAAACCCAACAAGGTGCTAAGTGCGTGTAATTAGTAAAAATTCAATTAATTGAAAAGAATTTCAAATTGAGTTACCTTGACGCAATGAAGGCTGGTAAGCCGAAAAGTGAAAAGTGAATTTTGGTGTCAAAGTGATTCCCGCCGGAAATTGTGCGTAAAATTAAAATGGACAAGAAGGCCGGAGCTCGTGAAGTGTAAAAGAGTTTTAAGAAAGTTTTTAACAAGAGTGTCACAGATCATACCGATTTTTTTTGTAAACATTAAAAATTACATTGAAGTTGTTATTTAATGAAAACAAAGTTTATCGTTGTTTTAAAATTAAGATCCGTTTAAAATTTACTTAAAGATGATGACTCTTTAATAAAACGTTTTTATTTCACAAAATTACAATAAATTTTAAATTCTATCAAATTTTAATAACTCAAGAAAATGTAAACAAAAGTATTTGCTTACCCACTTGTTCGAATAAAAACTCAATATTTTTATCAATTGAAGATAATAAAAGTGTGGCAATTTATTTGCCTCTGAAAGTCTTCATTAAAATACTTACTTGGTATGGAGAATAAATTGAAGACATATCAATCTTCAAATTACATTCAACATCAGAAAAGTTTATCCAGCATCATTGACCAAAAACCATAAAAACGGACCCAACTTTCAACACGAAAAGTGAAGGTAAATTTATGTGCTACTCAAAAATATCAAATCAAAATCAAATAAGACAAACTTTTTATTGGCGCCGAGTCCGAAATTCGGAGGGAATCAAGCATGACCTATTACTGTCACGTTTGTTTCCGGAATTCCGGGAAAGATGGGCAAAAACACGAGCCACCAACTTTTGGGTCACGTTTGCTTTTCTCGGACGAAATCAAATGGTCCCAGTCCCATTTACCAGGTCGGGATGCACATTGCCATAAAACCAGTAACAAATAGAGCAACAGCAAAGTCGGGGCCAATTAATTAAAAAGTTTTCGCGGGGCCAAAATCAAATCAACAATTTTCCCAAGTATTTAGGCGTAAAAATCGAATTGGAAGTTTTAAACAATCAAGTGGCTGTACGAAGATGAATGTTTTACATTTAGAAAAAATCTTTATGAAAGCGAAATGTCAACACGTCGAGGGTTCGTTTATTCAAAACGGGAAAGAAATTATTTGAAAATACTTAAAATTTTAAGATTGTTTTCGGTTCCTCAATATCATCATAAGTAAATGGCGCAACAAATTTGTTTGTCTTATTTTAGTTTTGAACTTAAGATAAAATATTGAAAACTCCACAACTTTATAAAATATTTATTCCGGGAAATTCTGGGGAGTTGTATTCAAATTTCATTCGCTCAGTGCAAAGATGTGGCTTGTTGTTGTGTGAGGATATGCCGTGAGGAAACGAATCCGGATACGGATGCGACAGAAATGGATAACCGTGTTGTCTGCAGCCGGCGGAAATCAATTCGCATTACTGAAGCTTCAGTGAGCTGCCCAAAAAACTTTGTGCGCAGCGGGCAAAACGCAAATAAATTGGTGGTTTTAAACCCGGTCGAATCGGGGGTTGATTAGAGACCGTATATCCTTTGGATACACCTGCCTGCCGCCCGCCAGTTGTCTAGCCGGGCGGAGTGCTTGACCCCGAGGTGACCCTAAAAATAGGCGTGTGCAGCCTCCACCCGGGCTATTTTTAATCGCTCGCTTCTTCACTGTCGCTATCTTTAAGCTCTTAATTAGTTTTATTTTTTGTGACGCCCATTGTGACGTGACACAAATTCGGTTTTTGGCACAAATAGTTGAATGACCAGCAGCGAAACAACAAAAGTGTAGTCTACTTTTCAGCCCCAAAAGGACACGCCCTCGGCTAATTGGTTTGAGTGTGTGTGTGTGTGTGTGTGCTAGCGTATGTGTGGATGTTTGTCATAATCAAATATCTTAACACGCAAGCTCAGACCCTTTTCGCTTCTTTTGGCCGGGTATTGCCCCCTTTTCTGGACCCTAATGACACGGCCACTAATCGGGGCAAAAAGTTGCCACTGCTGCAGTTCTTAATTAGCAATTTGACGCATTATGCTGCCGAGCTTGTTGGCATGTGCGGGCATTAAGTCCGATCCTGTCTGCGGGATTAGTCTCTGAAAGGTGAAATTAACTGCGCCCACACTGATGAGAAAGATGCATAATAAGCGGTGAGTTCCTGGACAAAAAGAGGTGGCTTAAAAAGGATACATCTGGCCAGAGGGTCACAGCACAGGGCAGAGGCTAATAGGTAGTAATTTAATCCTCACTGTAAGCTGGGAGTACTTAACTGAAAGCCGAATGAAAGCGGCAAAGCTATGTGTTTAAGAAAATATACAATAAATATACAAACGAAAATTGGTAAAATAATTCATGGGAAAAGGACATTCTGATAAAAGGATTACTTAATACTTCAACTTTAAATTAATAAGTTAAATTTTTTAAAAAAGGCTTTACTTGCCTTTACAGAATAAGTAATCGTGTTTTTTCTTACGATTTTAAAATTAAATTACTCAAAAATATACTGTAAAAAACTTAATTACAATATTAATTAATTTACCGAAAATAAAAGTTTTTTCAAATATCTATCAAAACTTAAAAGATAACAATTCAAGACGACTTAAAAAAATGGTTACTATCTGAAAATTTAAAATAGACTTGCGATCTAAAATGTTTTAAATATATATTAAAATTGTTTTTCTTTTAAGCTTGTAATATCTTATATGCTAATAATATATTTTTTTATATCCATGAATATTATTTTACAGTGCTTTTATTTGAGAAGAAAATAAGTTTAAAACCAAGATTACAGCTTAACAGCTGACTGTTGATTATTTTCTTTATTTCTGTAGAATAAATTAAAATCTTTACAATAATTATTTTAAAAATCCCGCTTTTATTCATTGACCGTTCAATAAGCTGCCACCCAATGCAATTGGTTTCATTGCCAATCACCCAGTCCAATTGAAATTCATCCATAATGAGGCAGCTTGCGAGACAGCCTTGACATTGAGATACAAGTTATACGATACAAGATGCATTGAGTGGCCAAAGCCAGGGGCAGATTCAAATATATACACAGGCACAAAAGAGAAATACAAACATTCTGCAGTTATTTTTATGATTGAATCAATAAGGCGCAATGGGAAGGTCAACTTGTGACTAGGACTTGGTCCTGTGGAAGGTTGCCCCCGGCGACCTGTTGAGCTGAGCAGAGAAATCCGATCGAATACCTTAAATATTAGCTGGTAAAAACACTTGGCTGCTTTTATGGCATCCCCCGGCCAAGTATTTAATGAATTTATTTATGCTTCAATCACACAACTTAATTCAATTCGCGCAGCGCCCCGCCCAGGAAGGCAATTCGATGGCAGAGTCCTTGAAAACAACATTCATTTAACTTTAGAGCGATGGAGGGGTGATGGAAATTTAATATGCCCAGCGACAAGTAAATAAAAGTAAAGTATCCGCCGGGGAGGGATATCATGGCGTATACTTAATATACTTTACACCGCATCTAGGCTGAAAAGTTCACCTCAGCCAGCAGGCCACGTGTCGCTAAGCAGCTCAAAGCGAGTTCAAAAAGAGGAAACTTTTTGTAACTTTATGCCATATGAGATAAATGGCAGAATAATTGTCTCCTCAGCAGCATTTAATTTAGTTTCATCTTGACTAGACTCTTAGCAAGTTTCCCTTGGGCCCGAAAAAGATAGGGGATTGGGCCAAGAAAAAAGGGTACTTGACACACCGCTCCCCAGACGACAGGATCCGGTTTGCCTTTGTGTGTGTTGCCAACGGAAACTTATGGCTCAGCAGTTTTGGCAGCGTTAATTGTCCTGGTTGCTGTTACCATTACTGCCACTGCTCTGGCCTCAAACATTGTAGCCCAGTATTGGCCTGGCTCAAAACTTGTGGCTGCAATAACCACAAAACCAACAGCTGCATTTAATCCTGACTGAAGGATACTCTTAAAAAAAATCAAAAATAAACAGCAATCTGGCAGTTCGAGCGGAGAAACTGTTTATTTTAATTACGATATTGGCAAGCAACTACGGTCCAATTTTCGGTTTATGCAGCGATGATGGACTAGAATTCAAAACTGTAAAAGGAAAATGGTTCGCCAGATAAATTATTTTCTCTGCAACTTAAATTTATATTTGTTATTTGGTATTTGGATAAATGAAATATATGTAATTCCTTTTTCATAACACTGCTGTAATAATTTAATAGAAACATGGAGATGATTGAGACGCTATATACTTATTTTAAAATTCATGGAGATATATTTAATTATTAAAAAAAAATATAAATAAATTAATTAACAAGATTTTTTATCATTCGGGGGATAAAAAGATGTATGTATGTACATATCTTTAGAACCATATATTACAGGATTGTTTCAGATTTTCGAGATCTTTTACGAAGTGGTACATTTCTGTATTACCCCTAATTCACAGATTGCTAACACAAATGTGAAATAAGTAAATTCAGAATCATTCTTCATATATTCCGTAAAAAGTTGTATTTTAGTAGGGTATATAAAATTCCTTTTAGGATGAGCCCCAATAGAACTGTGCCACAGTGTACGTAGTTCCCTTTTGTTTATGTCTGTCAAATTGCTGCCAAGGCTGCGCTGCAATCGAAAACGAGGAGGAGGAAAGTCAAACCAAAACAAAACAAGCCACCCGAAAAATTGCAACCACCGGGGGAAAACTTTCTCCCAACAACTTGGCTGGCGGTTTTGGCAGACGCAACTTTTCCCCTTCCTGCATTTTGGCCGTTTAGTTGTTGGACAAATAAATCAGACAGAAGTCTGCCCCAGAAATCACTTAAGCTGCCTGGGAATAGATAAAATTCCAAAAACCCATGAACAGAACATAAACAAATTGTAAAAATAAATGTGTAGATATGGCGCACATTTTTTTTTTGGCTAGTCCATCATATGGAGGTGTCAGAAATATTGAGTTCCAAAATCAACAATTTGGCTAATACAATTTAATACCAAGCTTTGACGGCTTTAAACTGCATTCTTCACTGGCTAATGCCAATTCTGGATTAAGCCTGATCTGGCTGGTTTCAATGGCTTTGGCTGCCTTAAAAGGCACCGAACATAAAATCCATTTAAGCGGAGTGTCATAATACAAAACCTCCGAATGAGTCACTGTTTACACAGCCAAGCAGAAAACTACAAAAAAAAGGTAATAAAATTAAATTCTCGCTTCTGAACTGTGCAAAGTACAAATACAAACAAAGATACTGATATATAATTAAATGCACACATTTTTAGTTGGCTGACTTTGCTTTCTTCTCAGTTTTGTTTACCCCTCTATCCCACTCTTTTCTGCAGTTTTAATGGGCAACAACAAGAGCGAAATCCATTCATACGCGGAACATAAAGATGTACAATTTCCAAACACAGTAAACGAGCACAAATGTTCCCAAAACAAAAAGAAAGAATGAAATCAGTAGTAAAACGTTTGGGGGCGTTTGCCAAGAATATCTTGTTGTCTATTTACTTGTGAAGCTGATAAAAATTCACTTTATTCACTTTGGCTGTTTATTTGCTTGAGCACAAAGTGGTGACATCGCAGTCTGCATTCGGGTTAAAAAGGGGGTCAAAAAACGGGGGGTGAGCTCGCTGAAGTGGCAAACAATAAAATGCAAACTGGTAGACAAAT